TCATGCTGTTTCTGTAATGCACTGTAAAGCCTACGGAATATCTTTCAGACTTTCCTCTGATGATCTTTGCATATGTAGACAATTACGGAATATTTGAACCGAGACATCCCTTTATGTGCATCCTCCACAACTTATCTAACCATTGTTCTGTATCTCGGAATCTCTCATTCCAAATTCCTCACCGTCATGAACTGAGGGCGCGCCCATAATTCGCGAAAAGCCAACATACAAATCTCACAGCGCTCACCAACCGGTGCCTCTGCTCTTAACTACAGGACAATGGCCAACTTCCCGGGACCGTGGGAAACCTCAATCTGATATTTTACCAATCATTCCAAGAGCGCGAGAAATCGAGGACGAGGGGTACTGTATGAGCGATTCTGTGTGACCTCACGCAACGTTCCTTAGATGACGTTCAGCCACGTTGCATAGAAGAAGAAGCGCTTGTCTTGATTCAGAAAGTTGTTTCATTCCTGTTGTGTGTCCTAGTTATGATATCTGCTGTTAATATTATCGTTCATAGGTGTTCTGATGTCGTATTACGAACAAGCTGGCTCAAGTGCAGCTGGTATCGATCATCGACGCAAATGGGATCAGGTTTGAAAATCATTTCCTTGTAGATGAAGTTTAACCTGACTTCACCTTCTTTAGACTGAGTATGAAAAGAAGGCATTGGAACGAATAAAAGCAGAAAAATTGGAAGACCCTACCAAGAAAAGTTTCAAAATAAAGGAGGAACCTAAAGTAAAAAGAGAACTGCTGAAGGCCAGAGACTACAAGGTTGTTATTTTTCATATTCGACTTTTTATTGTATCTTATATAAAACTCCGATTGCTGAATTTACACAAATTATTTATATTTGTATTTGCTTGTATGCATTAATCGAAGTGATTTAGAATATAAATTTAAACGCATTCAGGTTGATCTTGAATCGAAATTGGGTCGATCAGTTGTGATAAACAAAACCACACCAGCAGCTGAAACTGGTGGTTACTACTGTGATGTATGTGATTGTGTAGTCAAGGACTCGATCAATTTTCTCGATCATATAAACGGCAAAAATCACCAAAGGTTAGTCTTTTCTTGTCGAGGGAGTGGGAAGCGGAAAATATAGACATTATTTTACTTATTATAGGAATATGGGAATGTCAATGAAGGTTAGAAGAAGCACACTGGATGACGTCAAAGAGCGCTTCAAACTCAAGTTAGCGGAAAGTACGATATTATACTCATCTGTTTGCTCACTGTTCGAGGAATAGCTTTTCAAAATTTGTTCTTCAGAGGAGTATGAAAAGAAACAGAAGAACTTGGAAGAAATACTCGGTGATGTATATGAAGAAGAAGCCAAAATGAACGACTATAAAAAGGTGTGCTTTCACGACATGAACTACAGTTAATATCGTCGCAGTCAGTCGGGGCGGGGTCAGGAGAGGCGGAAAATCTTCCGCCGGCTCCTTTTTTTACCATTAAAGGATAAAAGGGTAAAGTCTTCGCCGTTGATCAATCCCTTTGTGGGATGCGGCACGCATTCTACTTCCATTCAGAATCGTAGTGCTTATTGAATGCGATGTGGCCTATACAATGACTTGCGGGGCCAGCCGATGTACAAGTCAGTGTTCTTATCCTCCCAGACGAATCTGGTACCAATTTACCGTCCCCGGAGGGTAGAAGGCTTGGTTGGCCTGGGCGGGTGTCGACCTGGGATTCGAACCCAGGACCGCGCGAGTGGTAAGCGCGCCACTTGTCACTACACCACCTCCGCCTTTTTTACCAATAGTGGTCAATTAGTGATCAACTCAAAACGACAGGAACTAGAGAATGCCGTTCCATGCCGTATGTTCCAGGATTAATAAGATGCAATCATACCATGTGTGAGTGAGGACTTGTCAGCACGCAGGGCTTATTGGCGCCCGTAGGGCCGCATCATACTTTGCCACACCGGAGAACTAGAGAACGCGCGCAAAGCCAGTTTGCATACTCTCTGATCTTCCACTGTCGCAGATCGTGCGCGCAGCTCAAAGCTATGAAATGGCATAAGTTTCATTTTCGCACGATTTCTCCATATTTTACTTTATGATGAATTAGTGCTGCATTTTGAGGACTGTCAAGAGGATGAGGATTTAGGGCATCATAGATGTGTTAAGGGGCACGATAGGGTTCGAGAATGGGGAGCTGTGCTACTCCATGCCGGTGGCAGGGTAATAGGCAAGTGAATGAAAAACTAAAAAAAACACCTGATGGGAACTCCTTATAAAAATCATGCTGGACCGCGCTTGAACGTGCATAATGCGGAGAGGGCGTGGTCGGACGAGTTTTCTCTTATTAGTGTCAGCTCTTGCCCCTTATCACCTTACTCCCAGCAATCGAAATGGATCGAAGTTGCAACGGAACAACCGCCCATCTTCATTCAAAACTGGATGTTGAGCGTCGCCGTGGCCAGTGAGCGGGCTGAGTTCCGTCGCGAGTGGGCAGGATCACCATGCCCAAAGATGGCGCCTGAACACCGAATGAGCGTGTGCATGCCTTTAAACGATATCCTGTTTGATATTAGGTGGGAATTACTTCTCCGAACACTTTTCCTAAATTTCTTCTTCTTACAATGAAAGAAAACGTTTCTCGTCTTGAGTGCTCTCCCCGGTACAGTGTACGATGAAGTGTGCAGTATATTTATTTATTTTGTAGACGTGTCGAAGAACTAAAGGTGAAATTAAGAGAATCGCATTCCCCAGTGAAGCTAAAGACAAAAATAGTACAAATCCATTACGTTTCTTGAAGGTTACATATTCCAGCGGAAGAACATTTGCTAGTGAAAGGTTTTCAAAACATGAGCAACTCTGTTACTAAAAAACTATCTGATTTGAGCTTCCGCAATAGTAGTATTTAATCTAATCGATGCCCCTCTTGTGTTAGATGGTACTATAGAAAAGAAGCCCTCTACACTTATTTTCACCAAATCTTTCAGAATTTCAAACATCATCGGTAGGTCATATCTCTTCCTTCTCCATTCAAGGGTTTGTAGGCCATACTCAGTGTTCCTTACTGACCCTCGTGGGATTGCAAGGTAACCTAGTCCTGAACATCTAAGCATTAGTTGCATCAGCACTGTACACTTTCGAGTGCATGAATTTTTAGATAGGGGCTGAAAAATGAAAGCAAACGTACGTATAGCTATACAAACGAATAAAACGCTAGGGTCTTTAATCCGAAGAGCTATAGGGCTAAGAGAGTGCTCGAAATTATTCTGGTGCCATTTTTATTGGATTATAGGAAAATGTCACGTATCCTTGCAACGATTCCCGGCATGTATGCAAAAATTTCCAAGATGTGCTCCTCATTCGTGGTAGATGAAAGCCTTACTGAGAATAACCATTTCATTTTCAGGAAAAGAAAGCTGAACAACGAAAACGAAAGCTGATCGAATCACTTCCCGAAGAGGATGATTTGGATCCTGAACTCAAAGCAATGATGGGTTTTGGTGGTTTTGGGACATCTAAGAAGAAATAGTTTCATTGAATAGTTTATACTTATTCCATTTCAGTTGTTCGTATTACAGTCTTTTTTACGTTGTCCATGCATGTAGAAAGCATGGCAGGACTGCCAGTATTTCTTATAAAACTTGTCGATATTTCTTATAGGACATTTTATGGAGGTCATGAGCCACCTCTAATTGTACCTTTTTCTCAAACTTCTACGTAGGCATCAGTCGTCATTGTCATTGTCAGCGGTTCCTGCTCAACTTTTCCTCAGGCGGCGTTCATACTTCGCGGCTTCATTCGCTTCACTCACGCGATTGTGTCCGACCGCGCTCAATCCTTGGACTGCTGTGACGGTCGAGAGAACTACTGTATTGATTGAAATTCGCAGTTGCAGCGGTTCAACGAATGGCGATAAAGCGCGATCCATCATTGTCTCGTGAAGTTCAAATCGCGCGACTGAGTCGCGAACTATGAATGCAGCCTCATTTGCAATCTGCTTTGAAAATATATTGAGGCTGAAAGTGATTTCTGCTGAGAAATTATTCTGATCAATTGTTATTGCGTGTTTTTCTGAAATATATTTACTCGCTGATCCTTCCATTTTTTTTGCGTCTTATAAAATCTCTAGTTTATGTTCTGCAGAGAATTTTATTTGGTGACCGGCTGAAATACCGACCATTTTTCATTTTTCAGTTGAATCATCCTTCTTGGTTTGTTGTGATATCTTGCTAACTTCTACCCAAACAATTAAGAAACAGGTCTCACAATGCTGAGGAGCCGGCTCTGTATGCTGGCGATCATCCTAACTATCGCTTATGTTTGTTATGCGGCTCAACCAACTTCACTGGATGACAAAGTATGTTCATTGTTTCTGACGCCAGTTGGCCTTTGGGGGGGGGACCTTGTGCTTTCGCTATTTGCTACTGTCGCACAAATTGATTACAAAAGTTGTCACAGCTTTTGCAAACTTTGAGTAGTATCACTTCACGGCCTTCACAAGGTATTGACTGCCTCGATGGCTCGAGTGACAGTTGAAACGTAGACGAGAGTGTTGAATATTCTACTCCGGACCAAACTGGCTTTCGTGTTTTTTTTCTCTTACCTCCGCAATAATTTTTTTCAGGTTAAAGCTTTACAAGATCTGCTGTACCGGCAGCCAGCAGTGAGAATGAACATGGATCGCTGGAAAACATTTGTAAGACAGCAGCCTCGTAACTACAGCATGTTTGTTATGTTTACTGCCCTTTCGCCAGGAGTGAATTGCCCAATTTGCAAGTGAGCGTTACGTGTTTTGGAACTGAAATTCTCAAAATAGATACACATGAGTAGATAGTTTGTAAAGAAGGGACTCATTTTTGAGCCCGCATTTGGTCTTTCCATCGTTACTGATTTGCAGGCGAATTATAGGTGATGTCGTTGCAGTCAGCCCTGGGTGGAGGTGTCAGGAGGGCGTGGAATGGGCCCAATTTCTGCTGCGCTTCCTAGCAATAGCGATTGGTTGAGAAAGACAACAACCAATCACAGAAAACATCGCGGATAGGCTCGTTCCACGCCCCCTGACCAGTACATCACTATACGCTGAGAAATGAATCCAGAATGGGTCGTATTGGTCTTTTGGTTGCTAGAAGGACAGGATAGTATTTGCCTTAGGTAAAATATGTCCGGTTGATGGCTTTTTGCGAACTTTCCCATTTCATGTATACCATAGACCCTCTCCCTCTGCCTCTCGGTCTCTCTCTCGACCTCAAAAATTTGATGGGCATAGGATTTCCCTTCGGGTCTACAAAGGGAGTTGGGAAAATTTAGGCAAGTAAGTAGCGTGACGGGAAGCGTGTCGCAGCAGAGGGGAGAAAGGGGAGAGCCTGTTTTGCGAAGTTTCGCCCAGCAACAAGAAGAGTGCTCTGCTCGTGGCATCGCCTCGAGTGCTTACGACGATATTAGTCTTCATGAGCAAGGGTCACACGTGTGCCTTGCCATCTCGAGATATGGTAAGGGGACTGCGATACTGGAAGAATAGGAGGTTCAGTGCTCAAAGTATACGTATTGATCTGGAGAGTCGGAGAATCCGCGAAAAGGAATAGATGCACGTCGACTAATTTTGCCCAGCTGGAGCATCGGAGCTTTATGAATCATGTTTTAAGCATCCTATTTCGAGCACACTTCTGTCTCTGAACACATACGTATATTCTCTTTTTTTGTGATTTGGAATTCTCCAAATTCTACAGTTTTAGTGCTGCAAGCCACGAACGCTGTCTGACGAATTGATATGAAAACGAGCAGGGGGGGGGGTGCTTCGGTGCTGATTTCTATGCATCCAAATGGTTCTAAATGTAATATTTATTTGAAGGCCAGCCTACGACGAATTCATGATTTTGGCGAATTCCTATCGCTATTCCCATGCTGAACTCAAGCAAGTGTACTTTGGAGTTGTCGACTATGAGGAAGCGCCCCAAATTTTCCAAGCGGTACGAATAGAAAACTCCTGTATTATGGACTTGTTAGCCACACATGTGGAATGCTCGTGACCTTTGACCTCCTTTTCTAGATGAACTTGAACACTGCCCCAATTTTGTACCACTTCGGACCAAAGCTACAAGGCAAGAAGAAACCTGATCAGATGGACTTCCAGCGTTTTGACGTGTGGTTGTCGGTTGAGGGGGGGGTGGGGGGGGGTGGTGGGGGTGTGTTGTGTGTGCGGGATGGCCGGTGGGGGGGGGGTGTGGTGTGTGGGGCCGGCGGTGGGGGTGGGGTGGGGTGTGGGTGGGGGGGGGCGTGGGGGGTGTGTGTGCGTGGGTTGGGGGGGGGCGGTGGGGCGGCGTGGTTGGTGGGGGGGGTGGGATCGTCGGTGCGTGTGTGCGTGTGTGGGGGTTGCGGGCGGGGGGGGGGGGGTGGGGGTGGGGTGGTGTGGGTGTGTGTGGTGGTGATCACGAATCCTTGTGACCAGCACAAAATCCCCCGTGTCCCGATCCAGATCGAGATGATGCGATCATCCACTTCGAGGGCGGGGGGTGGGGGCGGCGTGTGCCCCGTTCGATGCCGATGCCATGGCACGTTTTGTTGCAGACCAAACTGATGTTCAGGTGAATGAGTTTAGTTTTTAAGCGCAGTTCGGCTCGGTGGGACACGAGACGGTACTCAGCTAAGGTTGTAGGCCCACTTGTGAAGACCTGTAAATTCCTGTGATTGAAGTGGCTCGCTAGATCAGTTTCGCAGCTTTGCAGGAGTTCGTCTGGCCGAAGTGATACCCGTTGTTAACGAGAATTGACTAAAAATGAACTAGCCAAAGTACAGAATGCCCCTCCAAACCGAACAGCGCCATTTTTATACCTTGTTTTGGTGACAGTATTGAGGTCATACGTTCTGTTGTGTTGTGGTAAACATATTCCCGATTCACGCATATACTTAACGTGATCTCTGTCATATTAGATTCGTATTCTTCGCCCTCCGAACTATGCAGCACCTGTAGTAATCGTTTTGCTGTTGGCTCTCGTACTTGGATTGCTGTATATGAAGAGAAATAATCTGGAATTCCTTTATAACCGCACAAGCTGGGGACTTGTATGCTTGGTGAGTACTCAGGTTGTAGTGTTACACTTCCGCTATTAGGAAAAAATGAACCTTTGAGACTGTTTGATATTTGTTAGGCGGTCACCTGTCAAGGTGAACGTAGAGTTTTGTGATGTTTTCCACATTCTTCACCTTTGAAATGCATTCAGACAGTTCATTTAGTGCATCACTTTTGTTTTCCTTTCTGGTCAAATGTGGAACCATATCCGTGGTCCTCCTTTCATCATGAACAATCCACAAACCCGAGAAGCCAGTTTTATCCATGGATCGACACAGTATCAGGTAAATTTCGGTTCGCCATGCCTACCACTTCATTTTTTTGGTCATTTTAATAAGGGCACATCATCAATGGAAAGGGGTGTTGTTTAAGACAGAGTGCAGCAACATAGCGCCAAGTTTTTCCTTGCTTCTCAATTTAATACACGGCAGCGTTATCACCAGTTAGCTCCAACTACTGATAATGCTGCTACTGGAGCCGGTTAGCTCCTGGTGCGAATGTCGCGCACGTGACACCATTTGCGATGCCTTCAACGCTACATATATGAATTTTGATCACAGCATGTCCTGCCGTTGGGGAAAACTTGCGAAAT